CCAAACATAAGCAACTGGCTGAGCCACTCAGGGGTGTTCCTCAATCCCATCCTCCTTTGTGAAGCGTTCGGACTGACTGTTCTGAACTCATGGCAGAGCCTTAACTAGGTCTGGTCTTATCCTATATAATAAAAGGCTAATATGCAAACTGTCCCCTCAACTGGGAGTTCGATGGGGAGTTTGACCAGGGGGCGGGGCCGGCTGGCCAACCTCCAGTGTCCCCTCCCCCTGGCCAGCCCGGCCCAATCGGACCTGATTGGGGCAGGCCGGCCGGACCCCAACTGTGCACAAATTCGTGCACCGGGTGTCCAGTTTATTATAATATTTACATGCTGACAGTGAAAAAAAAATCAAGCCATAGAGAAGGTTATAAAATCAAATACTTTTCCCGCATATACAGACTCGAAATCTCACCACCATAGCTGTTTCTCATGTTTTCTCCCCCAAATTGTTTTCATTTGTTAATGTACATATTTCCATCTTTCAAAAAATAGAGATGAAACTACCCAGTTCTGCTTTTTGCAGAACCACTCGCGTCCGCTAAAGTGACACAGCTATGCTGTATGCCTGCCACTCATTTTGAAGATCAAAACAGCTTGCTCCTTCTTCCTCCTGGCGGCCCTTTCAGACCCGACCGAGCTTTCTACTTCCCCTTTCCGCCATCTCGTCTCCAGGCTACGCAGCACAGCTTATTACTTTCAGCATCCTCCAAAGGCCCAAGGTCAAGTTCAGATATCCGGCTGCGTGGCCCCCAGAATAAATTCGGTGCAGCTGGAAGGCCAAGAAGGGAATCTGTCACTGCACTGGTGTGGACTGTGGTTTGTGGTTAGATCAGACACTCACAGGAAGAACTCCACCCAAACTTGGACACCAACAGGGCCAGGCTCAAAGTGGGAGTCTGCAGAGGTGGTCCACAGTGAAGGCTGACCCTCCACGTCTTATTTGTGATGTCGTAGGAAATGTGCATGAGTAAGAAATTTTTCAATTGCATCCTCTTTGACCTTGAGATTTGAAATGAACGCAAACTCTTTCTCTCCTGCCTGTGCCGCCATGACACCTTACCTCTTCCTCCCCACAGTCACACTCTTCCCCTTCTTCCAGGTACCCATTTCCGCATCTCCGGCCTCCGTACAGCATCTTGATGTCTGGCATGTTCGAGAGACACATCCCACCACCTGACTGCAAATACCTTTCCAGCTCCCTCCTGTTGCATCCATTGAACACTTTGGGAAAAGGATGCCTAGGAGAGAATGAGTTCGAGTCAGTTGGGAGTCTGCACATCAAGCAGCCAGGACAGCTGTCAATCCTTCTGCCCATCGGGCTGATGGACTCAGACCCCCACTAGCCCCATGCACATACCTTTTGCCCTTTTAGAACTTCAGCGATATATTAACTTACAATTCTAAGAATGAAGAAATATTAACCACCCATAATATTTCCCCCTCCTTCTGCCCAGAGGAAGTATCTGAGAATCAGAGGCAGCAATTTCTGCCCTTTGCATGAAGGGGTTGCAATAAAGAAAGGGATGCGAGTGTTACAATAGGTCTCCAGAGCCTGAGAGCTGAATAAAATACCAGCCAACCCAAACGTTTTCTGAAGCTGATATTAGATAGAGATTTTCTTGGGACTGAGGACTGGGCCAAAAAGAGCCAAGACCATGGGTTTAATTTTTGGTTGGGCCAGAGATCTGCTCTCTGTACTAAGGATTCAGGCAGTGCTCCATATTCAACCAGCCAACTCGCAAAGGCACATTCTTTATCACAAGGGTATGAAAGGGCCTGGGTCCCACTGTTGGGAAAAAGAATTAAAAGTCATTCACTCCCTGGTAGCAGGTCAGTACTACCATTTGGGTCTATAAAAGAAGTCATCCTGATCCCAAGTCTCTAAGCCAACTACAGGTTAGACATTAGAGGGTTTTCCTCAGTTATCAGACGTGCCACACGGAATTTGTTACTAACTGTTAAACTACTCAAATTGATAACTAGGTTAAAAACAAACTGGAGCAGTAACTAATATAACTCTCAGCTGCTTGTCTATGAATATGCTCTTTAGACTGGGGAAGAAAGAGGTGGACTTAACCAGGAGCTCATGGGATGTGAGCATGGCCCATGGCCTTGCACCCTGCATGGCAACACCCTCCTCTGTGTGTCACAGCAGAGAAGGGATGGGAAAGGCACCGGCCCCGGGGGCTCCAATGTGCTCCTGGAGACACTGACACAATTTCTTTAAGAAGCATAAGCAGGTCCTAATGGTTTGGGGTGGGAGAACACAGGCTTCCACCATGAGGCCTTCCAAAGGGTGACCGAGGTCCTGGGAGAACCCAATGCTCTCTGCTGAGTGAGTCCAGACACTATCGGCCTCTGAATAAACTCCAGAATTCTCTTTAAAGGCTCTGGGTTTAAAACCCTCACAGCTACAGGGAGATGGGGCTGCCTTGCCCTTGTTCCGGGTAAACCGCAGCCTGTAAATCCCCTGTGGGCTCGCTGTGGGTGTACAGATGCTCCTCTTTCTTGCCCTTGTTCTGGAGCCTACATCAGCCCTGTCAATCAAGCCTGGGAAGTGAGAGCACTCATCAAACCCCCTTGGGGTGGAGGGACTAAGAATTGGGACTGTTATCAAAATGGATCCTCATCAAAAATTCCTGAAAAGAAAAGGACACAGGTCGTCGGGTGAATTTTGCAGCCGAAGACCTAGGACAGCACACCTCCTGCTAGACACCTGGTGCTCCCTGAATGCATTTGCTTCCTTTGTCCTCTTCCCATTTCTTTGCTGTCAAAATCACATTTCTCTCCAAGTTCTAACAGAGGCTCCCTTGCTCTGCCCTCTGCCCTGCCCTCCCCTTCCTATATGACTCACCCGGTGGCGGCTGCCATGATGCACCCACCGTCAGCCGCGCTGGCGTGGCAGCAACCTTTCAGATCATGGGTCATGCCGAAGTTGTGGCCCATCTCATGGGCCATGGTGGCAGCCACGCCAATGGAATTCTCAGAGTGGTCCTGCTCAGGGAGAGAGTGCAGGTCAGGAAGACAGCCCCCGACCCCAACCCTGCCTTTCCTTTGGCCAAGCCTGGCAGCTTGATTAAAAACCTGTGCTTTTAACTACGTGCTGCACTGCCAATCGTAAGGGCTGGATAAAGGATGAGCAGATAGATGCTAGCAGGCTCCTTGATATCCACTTCACAGGTCAGAAATGAACAATCAAAGTCATTTAATAAGTAGTCGCCAAGTGAGAGAGAATTTCTGAAGGCAGGAAGTTCCTAAACATGACTTTGAGACAGGCTCTTGTTTCATAATGATGTACATAACATAAAATCTAGAACTAAAAATACCTCCATCTGTTGTCTTACTACTCCCCTGGTTTGGAATATATGAAAGACCTATCGATGTATTAATATGACTGCTTCCGGGTTTTCCTGGGCTTGACAATTGGGGATAAACTACAACCCATGAAAATCTACCCCTGGTATCTCCATCTCTGATCACTGACTGACTTCCTTTTAAACAACTGCTCGAAGCTTTTCTTCTTTCTGCAATACTAAATATAAAATTGTGGGTTTTGGGTTTTTTTTTGTTTTTTATATATATTTTTTCTTGATTTCAGAGAGGAAGGGAGAGGGAGAGACAGAAGTACCAATGATGAGAGAATCACTCATCAGCTGCCCCCCGCATGCCCCCAACCTATTGTTTTTGACCAGATGACCTCCTGTCCTGTGAGGCGGCCTTCTGCCTTCTGCCACACGATACGATGTATCAGCTGAGACTCACCATGTTCACGCCTCCAGACTGGTACACGGAGCACATGACGTTGAGGGGGGCCAGGCCGATGGTGACGCCCTGGAAACGCACGCCACTGCAGAATGGAAGGAGAGGGTCACTAGGGAGGGGACTGAGGGGGCTGTTTCAACGTGCCCATGCAGGTGGCCGTCATGGTGTCCTCTGGCCCCTCTGACACTCCCAGATCATTCCCAAGGGGCGAGGCCCTGGTATTCCAGGCCAGCTGGACAGAGTCCAGGCAGCCAGGCCTCTCATTTCCTCTCACCTACCCTCTCACTGCTCTAAAAAAACAGAAAGAGAGAGTGAAAGGTCCCTTTGTCCCACATATGCCCACAGCCCCGATCCCTGGAAGGAAATGGGCAGGGCTTGCAAAGTTGCATCCCATCCCTGCTGCACAGGAAAAGGTCACAGGGAGGGGTGAGGTGAGGGAAGAATGGCACAGGGGCTGGTGCTGAAGTGAATCATGCCCACTTCCTCCAGCTGCAGGGTCGCATGCCACATCCTGGCTCTGGGGTATGTGCCTGGGGGTAGGTGGGGGGAATGCGGGGTAGCAGCTGCCAGAGGGCTGATGCTTCATTCCCTCACCGCCCGGGGCCAAGGAAACAGATGTGTCCCATCGGAAGCCTTGCAAAGTGCAGCAGGGTGCCAGAATGACCTGTTTCTGCCTCTGTTTCACAACTGTGATCCTAATCTGCCAACAGCCAAACTCCATTCCCCCAGTTTAATCCATCCCTCCCCCAGGGCAGGGGCCAAGGAGTAACTAAAACCCGGTGGTTTCATGCATGCCACAAAACGTAATTTGTTTAAATAAGCTTTTTGTGGAAAACTTCTAAATGACTTCTAATAACTTCTAAATAACTCGTGGCTTAAAAGGAAAACAAACTGAAGTGACAATTAGCAAGGACACTGGAGCGTTATATTTTAAAACCAATGGGACATACGAGGCCTTTTAAATGAGTAAACAAAGGTTTAAATGATTGTTGATTCAGAAAGGTATTTAAGCACCAGGAAGGCAGTGACTTACTATGTATGGGACTTCTGTTGTAACTGTCTCAGAATACCTTTGGAAGTCAACCCTAATAAACACCAGATAATCACCCCCGGGGACCGTCACATGCCAGCATGACCCCCATCCGCGTCTTCTCTTTTTCCCCCTGGGATGGAAGAAACTCCAACACAATCCTCACCCCACCCCCTTCCAGGTCTCCCTCCGACTGAGCACACAGTTCCTGCACCATCTGCCACTTGGACCACCTTGGGCCGTCAGCCCTCAGCCCCTCAGAACAAAGTGAAGGACAACCCAGGGAGCCCTCGCCCTCCTCCCGGGCCCGGGCCTGCTTCAAAGCCCCTAGATGAAGATGAGCCCCTTACAAAGTCTGTTTCAAAACTGCCCATGACCACCAGTCAGTCAGTCACTTCCTCAAACACACCCAATTGTTTCAGACACTCAACTGAATATGTGTCGGTCTAATTTTCTCATCTAGATTGTAAGTACTTCTTGGGACTGGTCTGCCTCTTTTTAAATCTTTTCCAGCGTGTGCTAGGTACAGAGCACATGTCTGAGAAATGCCCGATTCCCTGGGGCCGAGAGTCAAGGTAGCCCAGTGCGACCGACACTCAGCACCAGGAAACGAAGGGGCAGCCAGCACAGCACTGCGGGCAGGGGCTCTGCAGCCAAGGCAAAGACAAGGCATATGGGGACAGGCTACTTACGTGATTAACTGTGCATTGTCGTGCTTCTTCCGAAAGACCAGCTTGCGCCTCCAACGAAGAAATGACCAGAGGGTGGTGTAGGGGTTTGTTGAAATTTCACACTGATCCCCATGAGTCCATACTTCCAAGCCCACGAGAGCAATCCGGATGTTGTAGGGTCGGTAAAACTGTCGGGTGAAAGAGAAAAGCTACAGCATCACTTTCATCTGCCAATGCTAGGGAGGAGCTGAAACATCTCAGGTGGCTAAACAGCATGCCATTGAATGGACGCACCCAATTGTATATGGACATTTCATGGTCAGATGTCTCCACTCGTTTAGGAAGTACATGTGTATACAAGTAGGTAGACATGCTTACTCTCAGAAGTGTCCTTCCCCATCACTGGAGCTGTCCAGCTTTTGTCAAGGATGCCGTAAACTGGCTACAAGCATTAGGCTGCAAAGGTCCCAGATAACTGTCAGGGTTCCATCCAACCCAAAGATTTGGAAATTCTGTACATGAGACCTGACTTTTGGGACCTTAAGGCTACAGCTCTATCTAACCCTTATGATACACTGTGTCTTTTATGTCGTATACATATAACAGGATGAGAGCTTTCTTTAAAGCTGACTATTGGAAGGTGTGGGCATAAGCAATTCTTTGGCATACCCTAGAGACTACTGAGGCAGTGACTTACCAAAAAGAAAAAAAAATTGCATGTAAATCTAGGTCACGTGAGCAAGGAGATACCATTTATTCTAAAATTGGATGACTTGCCTGACTGGTGTGGCTCAGTGGTTGAGCACTGACCTATGAACCACGAGGTCAGGGTTCGATTCCTGGTCAGGGTACATGCCCAGGTTGCAGGCTTGATCCCCAGTGTGGGGTATGCAGGAGACAGCCAATCAATAATTCTCTCTCATCATTGATGTTTCTCTCTCCCTCCCTCTCCCTCTATCCCCCCCCCTCTCTCTCTGAAATCAATAAAAATGTATTTTAAAAAATAAAAACACTGGATGACTTTGGGCAAGTACTGCCCTGGCTACAAGCAGCAAGCGGAGCACTTTCTATGCACTATGTACTGAGGCTTGAAGTTCAATATCTTCCTTGTCCAAACTCTCAGCAGAAAAATGGTGGAGCCAGGATTCGAGCCAAAATGACCAGATCTCAGAGCCTGTGCATGGCCCACGCTGCTTGAGTGCGGGCGGTTCTCCATCCCCACCATCCACTTGCCTCCAAGACGCTGTGCTGTAAGATGGGCTCCAGATTCAGCAAAACATCCGTTGATCTCAACGGAAATTTTGATTTTCCTGTTTTGTGCCAGGCCAATCATTACAGCAAATAAAAGGTTTGGATTCCAATTTGAACTCGCTTTACTCAGGGAGCTTTTTAAGGACTTAAACTTGGCTTTTTTTTTTTATGGCTAAAGAAAAGCATTTTGGATTGGGTTCATGATTCAGCAAATTAGTGCAGTTCATTCCAGGTTTAGTTCAACAACAGTTCAGTTCAAGTAGCTGGGTCAGCAGCCTCAGAGAAGTGGGCTAGCCTTCCAGCCAGGAAGCCGGCTGTCAGCTGCTGAGGACAGAACCGAGACTGCTCCACAGAAGGGACCAGCTCGCCAGGCCGGGCTCCGAGGGCGGGCTGGGCTCTGCTCAGGGCTCTCCTCTCCTCTCATCTTTCATCAGCACCCTTGGTCCTATCACCCAGACCAGCCGGACAGTTCACAAAGGGGAGACCCAGCCAAGCCTGCCACCTGCCGTGTCAGCAGAACAATAGATGTCACGTGGGTGATAACAGAGCGGCCTCCTGTATACCCCGCAGGGAATCAGGCTTTTCTTGTTTTCCCAGATGTTGAGTGTGTGGGTTGGAGGGCCATTTAGATGTTATTGTTGAGTGAGTGGAGAGCTAGGGAGGACTTGGACTGCGCTCCCGGAGCCCTTCCTCCCAGGAAATGCCGGTGTTTGACTTTCACCAGTCACTGACCACGGGCCTTCTGGAATTTCCAGAGCCATTTTTGGCATAGACTTTCCCACCTGATGGCATCAGAATGCTACCAAATCTGCTTGTAAATGTCTAGAAAATATTTCAGTTCTCTCCTTTATACTCTAGTGTTTAGGAAAAAATGGTTTCTCCTTTGGACCTGGGACCCATGACTCCCTAGCCGGCCCAGAGTGAAAGCTGCAGGAGTTCTGTGAGTGGCCTGAAATTGTACAATGTTGTTAGAGTCTCAAAGAGACCTGTGACCCCAAATATATTAAAATCTACATTTTAAAATGGCTGCTAGCCTATGAAGAGGCTAGATTACCTGCTCTACTACATTTTGCACTATAACAAATGTAAAAAAAATATTTTAAAGACCATGTCCTAGACAAGCCAGCTCTTTTAAAAGTCAAGAATGTGGGCATTCCCTAAGAGCATGTTTGAAAGGCCTGCCCTAGGAAAGTTAGCCATGGGCATGGTCTTTCTGAGTATGGACATCACTTTACAGTGGTTCTCAACCTTCTGGCCCTTTAAATACAGTTCCTCATGTTGTGACCCAACCATAAAATTATTTTCGTTGCTACTTCATAACTGTAATGTTGCTACTGTTATGAATCGTAATGCAAATACCTGATATGCGGGATGGTCTTAGGCAACCCCTGTGAAAGGGTCGTTCGACCGCCAAAGGGTCGCGACCCCCAGGTTGAGAACCGCTGCTTTAGAACCTTTCACAGATAGAGGCTATACAGATTGTTCCTGAAACGAGCCACTCCTCAACTTTTAAGATTCTGTCCTATTCCCTTGCTGACCTAGCTCCATTCTCTCCTCAGGCAGAGAACTCCTGAGCTCCATGCCTGGAAGGAACCTTAAAGCCTTGAAGAACCTTAAAGCATTCTGAAACCGAGCTCCTCCATGTCCTCGGCTCCCTGGGAGCCGCTGCAGGGATGGAGAGAAGGGGTGAGAGGGCAGAGCTCTAGTCCTCACCCTGCTTCAGCCTGGAGCAGCCCGTTTCATCTGACTTTTATATTGGACGGTTCTGAACTGATCTCAGCCTATTCATCACCAGCGTTATAGAGCTGGACCACCCTTGTGATTCTTACTGTGACTGCAAGACTCCCTTCAGCAATAACCATCAGGAAACTGAGCAGATACAGGCGTATTACTCACAAGACCTGGAAATCACACAGCACACCTGGGGCCACACAGCGAGGTGGGGCGTGGGGATGGGGGAGGTGAGGAGGGAAGAGTGAGAAAGGGCCTGGGTTCAGCTTTTATTGGGGTGAAGGGTGAGGATCCAGGTTTTTGAGGACTCACTCTTTCTTGGTGAATTTAAAACACCGAGTGGGAATTTAAAGCACAGGAAAATAAAAATAAAAACCACACTAGTACCCAAATGGTCTCTTACTAAAATCAACCACCATCTCTAAACCAGAAGAGCCTCAGTGGACGGAGGGGGCCTGGATCTTCCCCTTCCTGTAGTGGCCGAGAGAGCCTACTTTGAAGTGGATGCCTCTTGGTAATGAAGGCCTGGGCACTCAAAGCTTAAGCCAGGCACTTGCGTTACAAAAACAAAATAAGCAAACAATGCCAGGGCTTATAATACATGGACAGTGGTGTAGGATTTTATTTTAAAAAAGGATGTCACCTGTCTGGCTGATGTGGCTCAGTGGTTGAGTGTCAACCTATGAACCAGGAGGTCAAGGGTCCATTCCCGGTCAGGGAACATGCCCAGGTTGCAGGCTCAATCCCCAGTAGGGGGCGTACAGGAGACAGCCAATCAATGATTCTCTCTCATCATTGATGTTTCTATCTCTCCCTCTCTGAAATCAATAAAAAGTATATATATTTAAACAACCACAAAAAAGGAAGCCACCAGAAAAAGAAAAATTTTCCCAAACCCTTGATTCAGGCCAACCCCTCTATTCTATCAATCCCAAACAAAACAAAACTTCAAGCCAAAGAAGATGAGTCACTTGGCTCCGGTCACATAGTTGAGCTTCGAGTTCACCTGCGCCTCTGAGGCACTGCTGTTCCCTCTCAGAGGCTGGCTGGGCCGGCCAGTCCGTTACACACGAGGCAGCTCAGGGGCCATGTGCTCGCCCGTCCTCTGAGTGCTGGCACCGTTCCCACAAAGTACACACCTGGTCTCACCTTATCAACATAATTGGCGATCTCGATGAGCTTGTTTTTGGTGGCTTCCAGATCTCGTCCATTCTTGGTAAACTAAATGGGACAAGCAGAACTAGGTAAGATGCCAGGGCCTCTCGCATAACCCCTCCCATGCCCAGTACTTGTCTCTGAATTAGTTTTTACTTGCTCCCATCTTCTATGAGCAGTCATTTTTACACAGCTGTCTCCCCCCACCCCCCAACACACACAGTATCAGCTGAGGGAGAGCAGAGCTGGATCACATCCATCCTGGCAGCCCCAGCCACCAGTGCCCAGCACGGAGTAGGCGCGCCATGTTGTACAGTGAATTGAATTCTTTTTCTCCAGCCCTTGAAGTCAACCTTGTTCTCCTGTCCTCCAAAAGAGAAGGCCTCCCACAAACTCACTGGGCCTCAGAAGAGGGACCGATCTGATCCCTGCCTTGGGCATCATCCAACCTAAAGCCACCAACCCAGGGGTTTCAACAGGGCTCCTTTCATGTGATCGATCAGCAGTGGTCAAACTGTTGCTGACCGCCTGCTCTACACAAGGCACTGGACTTGGCATAGGTGTGAGATCCTGGTCCTAGCCTAGAGGAGCTTCAGTTACAACAGAGAGAGGGCCAGAAATAACAGCAGTGGCAGGTTCTGTATTGAAGGGGCATATAACTGAAATGGACTGAGAAAACATGGACAGAAATCATGGCAACAGGAGGCCACAGGAGTGATACAAAGTGAGTGCTGGTATCGAGGATCATAAGACCCGGGCTTTGTCTGGCACGCCACTCAGATGGACTGGCAGTGCCTTCTACGGTGAGAAGAATCCTGAGACTGCATGGGGCTCCGCAGGAAAGAGTGCTGTGCCCTATTGGAAATGTCCGCCATGGGTACCAGGAAGAAGACATTTCATGATGCAGCCTCACATTTATCCTTCCTGCTTCAAAAGGACAGGCCTCTTTCAGCTGCAATGAAGGAAAGCTTCGCCGTGTAAAGATAAAATCTGCCACAATTGACCTAAATTTGTAAGCGATGGGCATGTCCTGTCCGCTATCATTGTTACACTGAATGTGGGTACCTCGCTCATTTACCTTGGGTACACAACTATATATGCTACTTCAATTCCAAACTTCCACGCCCTTCCTCCACCTCCTTCAGCAAGAATAGCCAAACAAGAAATAAAGGACATCCAGGTAAAACTCTCAAGGATCTGGTTGTGATGGGGGTGTCTCTGCCATGACACAGGGGAGAAAACCGCCCTTTCCTATTCTTCCACTGCACTGACTTTCCTGGGCTTCCTGGGAGCTGTCACTCATCTGAACTGTCAATCACCTCACTTTCACTAGCAGTTTTAAGAGTTCAAGTCAGTATCAGGCATTGTGACTTAGCCTTTACGAGGTGTTAATCCTGAAGCTTCTCATTATACAGTCATCCCGTTTCTAAATTGGTCTCACTGCACAGAAAGTGTGGCAGGATTTAGTGAATATTTACTATAAAATCAGTCCTATTTTATTGCCTTTCTAAGATATTGCTCCTACCTTCAAGCAACTGTCTGATAACACCACCACCATTTAAGGAATGTACCGCGTCATCCAGAAGAGTCTCCAGCAGGAGCCAGCAAACTTTTTCTTAAATGGGCAGACTGTAAATATCTCCGGCTTTGCATCCATATTGTCTCTGTTGCATCTACTCAACTCTGCCATTATAGCTCAGCCATGGACAGTACTCGCAGCAGTAGGCATGGAAGTGTTCCGGTAAAACTTTGCTTACAAAAACGTGTGGGCGGGATTTGACCATGGGTTATAGCTTGCAGACCCCTGATCTATAGAAAGGACTGTCTTAACCTTATACTTTCTAGGTGATAAGAAAGTAAAACACAGTGTGTCACCTGGCCTTTCCCAACTGCCTCACATTCCGCCTGCATCATGCAAGTTCTTGGCATTCCCGCTCTTACAGCTGTGCTGCCCTTCTGCAACACCCCATCTTGCTCTTCCCTCTCCTGGATTTCCCATTTTGCCCGAGGACATAAGCTGAGACCCACCCAGGTGCTCCCACCTAGACCCAGGGAGTGAGCAGCTGCTTAGTCAGTTTTACTGCTGACAATACTCGCTCTCCCTCTCCTTCCCTCTCCTTCTCCATCTCCCTCTCTCTCAGCAGCAACAGCAGCACTATCCCTGTCTCTGCTCCCTGTGCAGCCCAGAGGAGGAGCTTGGCCTGTCTAAGCACCAGGTTGTAAATCACAGATAAGGCCGCCCTCCCCCTCCCTGCCTTCCCATCCTCTCAGATTAATTGTCAGGAATACATTTCTGCCTGCAGAGGCCGAGGCCAAGAGGCCGCTGGGAGAGGGAGTAGGGGAGAGGTGGCGAGGGGGAGGGACTTGTGAGCCTGAGAACCAGCCTGGCCTATTGTATCCCCCACTCCACCCCTCCCCATGACTCATTCAAAGCCCAGGACCCTGAGAAATAAGCAAGTTCCCGTCTCCAGGCAGCACTCCCCAGGCAGCACGAGCCGCCTGTCTGTCAGGAACGCCTGCCCCTGCCCGGCTGCTGCTGAAGGCAGCCCCTCTGAAAAAGGATGGCGGCCCAGGCGACACCTTAGTCCTGAAGGCACCCTGAGCAGCTAGTTTTCCTTGTGGGCGTTTTCTGCGATCCTGCAGGTCAAGAGACTAAAGATGCCCAATCCCTTCCCTGCCCCCGCTTCTCCGACTTGCAGAGACTCACATCCAGTGGGTTTTAAAACCCTGCCCAGGATTCCACTGGGGAGAGTGCAGGGCTGCAGGGGAGGGTCCCCCACCTTTACAATAGATTGGCTGTGGTTCTATATGCTTAACTCCTGGGTCCCAGGAGCTTTCCTCTGAACAAAGGATTCTGTGGCTGAAAAAAACTGGTTCATGACACTGTATTGGATGATTTCAGATGCAAAGTTAAAATGAAAACATGTCCTGGAGTCAGAAGAGCTCAGCTCTTCCAGCAACCCTCCCGCCAGGGCCAGTGAGGGTCCTCGCCTCCCATGACCCTGTGGCCTTGGCCTTTGCATCAGCTTTAGATCCTGACCCCACAGTTCCCCATCCCATACACACACACACACACACACACACACACACACCAGTCTTCGGAAAGGAAAACAAAAGGGGGAGAAGAGGCTGTGAAAAACCAATACCAAGAGCAATTAAAAAGCAAAACTCTTCTCAAAGCAGAACACGATGTTCCCCAGGCCTGGAGTGCCCTTCGCCTCCACCTCTCTGCGCAGTTAACATCCTGTCCTTTAGGACAGCTCAAGGCCACCTGCTCCTGCCACTGACCCACAAAGGCGGGTCGTCCAGCCTGGAATCTAGTGTCCTTCCCACTACCTTGCACTGCCTCCAGGACCTGAGCTTTGGGACTGTGGACCAGGTAGAGCGGCCTTGGAAGGAGGCCCTCTGGGGAGCTGGTAACTAAACCCCTTGGACGGAGTATGAGACAGACTGGAGCTTGGATAAGCCTCGGCCTCAGGGAGCCCCAGGCGAGCATGCAGCGAGCATAGAGCCCAGTGAGTGCTCAGCTGCTCATGTTTTCCATGCCCAGAAGATGTGCTTAGCTATGTGGTCGAGTCGCTACATAAAGTGAGAACTGGAGGTAAAATAGGCTAATTTGGAGCACTGGGGCTTGAACCCATTCTTCGGGTGTCAACTTCAACCTCACCACCTTGGAGAAGCTTTGCCAGTTTCCAAAGCCACCGTGTTGGAACCCTCATTGTCTGCATTTCTAATCCTCTGCAACGGAACATCCTAGCAGTTACCACGCCTGGAACCAGCATGCAGTTCCCTGTTGGTGTTGTCAGCTCTGTGACTCCAGGGGCAGGTCTGTCTATATCTCTTGGGGCCAAGTTCTGTGAGTACTATGCTTGGCACATAAGAGAGAATCGAGACATCACGGATGAATAAATGAAATGAAAGAGAGAGATGAGTGTTCATCAAATCTTAGAAGTCAAGGCCTGCGAGAACCTGTCTAGTTTGAGGCATATGGAAGTAAAGGCCAAACAGCTAGTCCTTTGCGTCAGTAGTTCTCCAACTTGCCTGTGTATTGGAATCACCCAGAGGGCTTGTTAAAACCTAGATTGCTGGACCCCAGCCCCACAGCTCAGGATTCAGTAGTTCTGGGGTACAGCCCAGGAATTGGCATTTTTCACAAGTTCCGGTGCTACCGATACCACTGGTCCAGGGACTACATTTTGGGAACCACAGCTTCGGGTTTTCATTTAGTGCCAACCTGATTATAAAAATGGACCCATACATGGGCAAGAAAACTGTATTAAGTCCGATAACTCAGAATACATCTATTATCGGTGCCAAAAAAAAAATTGTTTAAATTTCTATAGAGAATTCACAGACTCCTCAAGAATAAGTACCAAAACCTAGAAGTCCTCAGACCCAGTCTAAGAAATGGTAATCCCACTAATGCAATTGCACTGGGTTTGTTTTTTATCTGATGAATGTATCAGGCTAGAAGAGACTTTCCTTGTTTTTCTCCTCCAACCATGTTTAAAACAGCCAAAAGAGCCCTCGGTCAGAGCTAAGGTCAAAATCCTATGACGAACGGGAGAAAGACGAGTGCTTCAGCATTCCCCCAAAGCAGTTGGGAGCGTGGGATGGAAGCTATTAAAAGAGCAGTTCTGCTGAAAGTGACTGCCTCCCCCTTACCTCCGCAGAATCAGCCACAATGTAGAGCTCCACGTACTTCATGTAGTTCAAGTCTTCCCTTTTTATCTGGGAAGGAGAGACAAGCAGATCAGAGCCTGTAGAAATGGTGACGTGGCCTCATTTCAAAGCAGTGGTGCTAGTTGAATTTTGTACGTGGGCACGCGGGCCAGCTCCAGCCTTGGTCGCCACCGCCCTCAGTGCCCCCTCCGCCTGCCATGTTGGGTACCGCCGGTAGTTGCTCTGGGACACTGGGTCCTGTCCTCTAGTCCCAGCTGCCTAGTCCAGGAAGGTCAGAGGCCAACACACTGTGTGTGGGACATGCTGACATCAAGTTCCCCCAAACCATTTAAACCACATGCCTCTATAAGTAAACAAACACTTTGGGCATCAGGTTAAGAGGCTATTCAAAAACGGGAAGTATAGGTTTTTCCCCCTCACATTGTGAAGTTTCTGAAATTAGCATCTCAGAGTATTTTAGATGTAGTAGTGTTTTCCCCAAAGCATTATTCTATCAAATACAAGGGTAACCCACACTCAACAATGACTCAGAATGAAAGAAAAAGCTATTTACTCCTTTTAGCCTTCTCCCTTTACTTCAGAATTACCCCCTGGATCCAAAGTAAGGGCCCTCAGAGGGCACAAGCCTATCCCGGGGTGACTCCCGCACCGAGAACTCACCCGGTGAGGTCGTTTCTTGATCTGGTTTGTAAACTGAAAGCCCCAGTCCCTGCTGGTGTTTCCAGAGTGCTCGAACCCACAGTTCCCGGGAGGCAGCTTGAGATGTTCAGATCTGTAAATAAGGTGGTGGCCCCCACTGTCGGGGAGGGGCTCGATGATGTAGCTGAGGTTACTGTTCACCACAATCAGTCCTCTGTCAATAGGATAAATAGAATCTCTGGTTAAAGACTGAGGCCCTGGAAGAGTCCCTTGCTCAGGACTCAGTTTCCCCACATGCAAAATGGCACAGTTGGTTGTGATCACTGGTTCTTTTTGTTTGTTTGTTAATCTTCACCTGAGGATATTTTTTCCATTGATTTTTAGAGAAAGTGAAAGGGAGGGAGGGAGGGAGGTGGAGAGAGAGAGAGAGAAACATAGATGTGAGAGAGACACATTGATTGGTTGCCTCCCACAGTGCCCTGCCGATCAAACCTGCAACCCAGGTACATGCCCTTGACTGGGAATAGAACCTGCGACTCTTCAGTGCATGGGCCAACGCTCTAGCCACTATGCACAAGGGCCAGGGCTAACCACTGGTTCTTAACCTTATTATGGAGTCATGCACCCTTTGACGAAAAGCTGAGGCAAGCTCAGACTTCCTCTCCAGAGAAATGTGCATGTGTGTAAATGTGGTGCACACTTTCAGGTACTAAAGCTTATCACAGAGAAGCTCAAAGGTTCTAAAAAGGCTGGATCAGGCACGGTTAATAGTTACAAATGTGGTAGGACCAGGATTCCAAAAAGCTTCCCAAACCCAAATATGGCATATGGTAAGTCAGAGGTCAAAACTTTATGGACTCAGTAGAAGATGGTATGCTGAGCAGAGGAAGAACACTGGCCTGGAGGTGAGACCCACGTCCTGGTCTTAGCTCCAACATGAAATTGCCAAATGCTCTTCCACAGACTCTCTTAAATAATTCTGAACCTCAGTTTTCCCAGGTGCAAGTGCAAATGGTAATTTACTAACTCGTGGGGACTCTTGGGATGATTAAATGGGATGACAAGTATCTTTGTCCTTGGAAACCAGAATTGAAGGCATCACCAGTGGCATTCCTTCTAGCCCCAACTTGCCCATGTCAGCAAGGCAGCTCTTTGGTAAAGTGACATCCACAACCAAGAATGTGTGTCTACTCTTTCTCTTGATTATGGACACTAGCTTTGAACGCAGAATAAAGATATATTTGTTCATTATACTTACTCACTGAGCCCTTACTCTGTACTAGATGTAATCTAGACATGATCCCTGTCCTCGAGTAATTTGCAGCCCACTGGAGGAGAGACATTCATTCCACAAATATTTCCCGAGCCCCTGCTATGGGCCAGGCATCCTGCTAGTTGCTGAAGATGGCATAGCGAACAAAACAAACAAAGTGCCTGCCCTCACGGAGCCTGGGGTCTGGACACGGGAGTAAATCACTACGGTACATAACAGGGACAGCAAGGTTTCATCACCCAACACTGATGGATTGGACGCAGCTGCCTGAAGGGCTGCATCAGTGAGGTGAGAAAGAGTGCTACGATTTATCATGGATCACTATTGCAAATAATCAGTGGAAGGGTGAGTAGCCCTGGCCAGTGTGGCTGGAGCATCGTCCCATACACCAAAAGGTCACGGGTTCGATTCCAGGTCAAGGCACATACCCAGGTTTTAGGTTCCATCCCCAGTCAGGGTATGTACGGGAGGCAACCAGTTGATGTTTCTCTCTCTCCCTCCCCCTCCCTTGTCTCTCTAAAATCAATAAAAACATATCATCGGGTGAGGATTAAATAACTTAAAATAATCAATGGAAGAATGAGTAGAAGCCCATTTGCCATCCTTGATGCAGTGACATGACTACAAGGGAATGCACCCAGGACTCCGGGGGAAGAAGAAACCCAGCACTGAGCCAGGGGCCCCGACAGCATTTCATGTACTCCAAAACCTCAGGCTCTCATCCATCCAGAAAACGCACAAGTTAAATGATCTCCAAGTCAGTCTTTGCCACTCAAAGTTCGAAGGACCACTCTCTTCAGCTGTGTTGGCTTCCAGCCCCACCCGAGCGCCTCAGGACCCCCACCCAGGTTCTGCCCTTTGGGAAGAGCCTGTGATGCTCTCAGGAGAGACACGCCAGACTGATCAGCAGCAGCCCTTCCTGGAACCATGCCTGCCTGACCTCATTCCAGGTCCGGAGCCTGGTGGCTTCCAGGCGGCCTCGCCCAGGCTGACACAGCAGTCCCAGAGCTATCCTGCAGCTGCCCATTGGTGGGACACCCAAGGTGCTCCCTGGACAGCTAGGGGTGGGAATGGGGCAAAGAGCAAGGGTCACATCCGCTCCCAACCCCAGACAGGAAAGGGCACAGGGCAGAGCTGCTACGGGCATCCTGTTCCCAAACTATCTCTCATCTCGGCTGACCAAGGCCCTTCCCGTCACCTCAGTTTCCCCTGATGGCTATGAACTTTGCAAACACAGAGGGCTGGACCACAGACCAGCTAATGCTAGTGTGTAGGTCAGGTTGGGCTGTGGAGATAACACCCAGTGAATGGAAAGTTCCAGGTAGGGACTGGGGCAAGTTCCAGAGGAGCTGACGGGGCATCACTTGGATAGGCCTCTGGGCCAAGTGGACAGAGACGATGCCAAAGTTTAGTGCAGGGTGAGTATTAATAATCACGGTGATTATAAATGAGTGAGCCTTTGCTAAGGACCGGGCACTGTGCTGAGTATTTTACTCAGCACACCAGCTTCCATGATCCTTACAAACATTATCCCCATGTGCAAATGAGAAAACTAAGACTCGGCGAGGTTAAATAACCAACCCAAACTCACACAGGTAGCAAGGACCTAAGCAGTCTGGCTCCAGGTCCCACGACCTTAACCATGACCTCACTTGCCTCTGTCACAATAGCACTGTAGAGTGGGTCAGAAAGGTATCCCCAGGTTACAGATGGCTACAAATGTCGGGCACCAGCACCCCAGCCGGCCCATCTGAAGACACCAACTTTCTTATTTCATTCCCACATCAATGCTAAGAGGTACCATCATGGGTCCCATTTTATAGATGAGGAAACTGAGCCCCAGAGAGATTAAGTAACAAGCTCTCATGAGATTGGGGCCAAAGATTTAAGGTCTGGTAGATTCTGGACATCATGCCCTTAACCTCTATGTTGTCTCCACCAGTGAGTTCCAAACCTATGGGTCAGAGTTTGCTAGGATCAGAGCTCGCAGAGTTCTATACTAGAACATTCTACGGAGTGCATTATAAATACAAATGTAGGAATCTTGGATTCTACAAGCCTGGGTATTGGAACTTAACAAGTCCCACAGTAATTCCTTGCACAGCCACACTCGGGACTGCAGCCTGGAGCCCAGGCTGGGCAGCAGGGGCCCAGCTCTCACAAAGCCCCTAGCAATTCTGTTTCAGGGAGAGAGCAGATGACAATCTGAGAAACACAGGCTCAGAAGGACACTGGAAGTCCTCCCAACGATAGGACTCAGTGGCCCTCCCCTCCCCGTTGTGGCCCCTGGTGACTCACCCCATGTCACAGTTGCAATCCTCCCAGACTGCCTGGGGTCAGGGGAGAGGCTGGCACAAGTCCCAGCACCTCACAGCCAACCCCAGCTTTGACAGCGGGGGATTTCTAAGAATCTAGTTCCTGGAGCCCTCCCCCATCACCACCCTCAGGTCCTGCTGGCTGCCCTCCTGTGAACACCCACCAATTGTTTATCCTTCCAGCAGCCTCGGTTGATCTAATTTGCTAAATATAAGCATGGCAGAGCTTCACCAGGGGCATGGGAGGGGGCCCGGCGGCTGGGACCTCACAAGCTATTCTCCATTCTGCTCCCCATCCTATCCCTCATTGCTAAGCGCTTGATACAAAGGAAATTGCACAGAGGAACCCTGGCAGGGCAGGGCAGGCTGACAGCAGCCGATTGGGGTTTGACCCCTGAGTGACTACAGGACTGGCCCACTGGCATCCTTCAAGGACCTAAGCAAGACTGCTTCTGGGGAACTTGTCCATTCAGAGCTAAACCCAGGGGGACACACCCTGCCTCCCTCCATCCCCAGCGGCCCTAGGAGGTAATCTCCCTGTTACCCTTCCTTCCTCCCCTTTAACCCCAATTTGCATCCAAGTGAGAAGGAGTTAGGAGGAGCTTCAAAGGTGGCATAGAAGGGAGGAAAGAAGGCAGACAGGGCCGAACCGGTTTGGCTCAGTGGATAGAGCGCCGGACTGCGGACTGAAGGGTCCCGGGTTCGATTCCGGTCAAGGGCATGTATCTTGGTTGCAGGCACATCCCCACTGGGAGGCGTGCAGGAGGCAACTGATCGATCTCTCTCATCGATGTTTCTAACTCTCTATCCCTCTCCCTTCTTCTCTGTAAAAAATCAATAAAATATATATTAAAAAAAAAAAAAAAAGAAGGCAGACAGGTGATGTGCTCCCCCCGGGGTGGCACATGTGAAGAGCATGGCCTGGGGCGAGGCACGTCTGGATTCGAACTCTGGCTCTGCTATCTCCTAGCTGTGTGGTAAGTCACTCAACAACACTGCCCATCTCCCAAGGTTGCTATGATAATTGACGGAATAGGCAGTGTTTACTAACAATCAACGTAACATTAAAAAGAATAGCATATATTACACAGGGAGGGCACAGAGCATTTTATTTGATAGCCGTTCGACGCATGTGTATGGAGAACCTACAATTGTCAGGAACTATTGCAGGCACTGGGGATGCAGCACGATGGGAAAAAAGGTCCCCGCTCTCAAGGAGGTTGCACCCATCACCCAGTGATGTCACTATTGCTCCCATTTTACAGGTGAGAAAATTTGAGGCTGGAGAACTGAAGCAAACTGTCAGGTTTTGAACCAGGAATTGTCTGATTCCAGTCGACACATGTCACAATTTAATGGTACTCCCTATGAGGGCTTACTCTGCGCCTGACTCAGAGGTAGCACTTAGCATCCATTCTGCATAAGGAAGGCCAGGTATTCAAAGGAGAACGGGCTTTGCCACTCCTTGGCAGAGGCAGGCCGGTATGGACTGGCTGTCTGCTTATGAGCCACCTCCTTCTGTGCCAGGTGCCACCTCCCACTCTCTCTGCAGAGCAGAACTTCCAACGCTGAAGGAAGTGGTCTGGTCTACCCTCCTTTATCAGGTGAGAGGAACCAAAGCCCAGAGAAAAAGGAACTTGCCCGAGGTCACATAGTAAGTTACTGTTGGGGCAGGGGGCAGATCCCAGGTTTCCTGACCAGGCTCATTGCCTTTGGCGGGGCCCAGACACCATCCCCAACCCCCCTCCCCAGGACTCGGCAGCCTCCCCCGGCACCATCTATAAAACCGAGTAAGGATCATAAGGGAGGCACCAGCCCCCGCCAAGACAAAGCTAAGGGAGAAAATGACATAGGGGAGAGGAAAGCTCAGAGGATCACATGGGCAGGAGGTGTGGAGCCAGATCAGAAACTTCAGGTGCTTTCAGGGTGTCATGCACCCTTTCCATGCATACGCTTCTGTTCATCCTCAGTCTCACACGGAACCGAGTCCAAACACAGTGAGTGTGGGTCCTAGAGTTTTGAGGATGGGGTCTGCTATAAGAGTATGGATCAAATAG